CCCTAGACGAAGAGTGTACGAGTCCCAAGTGCCGTTTCATTCAAGGGAGATTCCTTACCTTGATAACTTGCCAAGTATACCGGATGTGAAAGCTCTCACAAGGGATTTTGATGAAATTCAGATAGCAATGTGGGATGAGTCTAGACCAACGGTGCTGGCAAAGGGCATGCTTTTTCTTGGTAAAGCGCGCCTAAGCAGGGCTTGTAAAATACACAACGTAAAAGAGTGTCGTGAGATGACGGTATGGGAGTCAAGTCTGGTTGTATACAAGGTTGTTTGTCGCAGGTGGTTTTGGCCGTGTCATTGGATGTTGCGTGTGAGCAAGGAGAAGACAGGTCTATGAACTAAATTCCTCCAGCTATGGTTTCGAGCGTACTTAATTCTGAGCTAAATTCCTTTTCTTGCTTTATGAACTAAAACTATATCCCACCACCTTTCTTCTTTTGATGCATAAACATTATTCGTCTGAAATTTGGTTTGTTACTTCCTCTTGTGTATATGATGCATAACTGATTAAATATGATTCAAGTTAATGACATTCATCGGTTTACTAATTTGAGTCTTTGGGTGTGTACTTTGTCAAAGTGCTCTTAACAAATTGATTGTTGTTTCTTAGTTTAAACTATTAACTGGTTCTCTTAACTTGCACCCAAAAGTGTAGTCTGGTGGTCAATGAAGTGGGTGAAAACTATGGGAGCAGAGACAAAACATCTTTATATAAGTTACATCGGATATACTCTGACTTTGCATTTGAATTTTAAAAAAATAAAATAAAAGCTAATAGTAAAACAAAGGATAGGTAGATTCCACTATTTCATCCTCCCCNCTAGTCAGGTAATTTCACTAAGCACCTCTAAGTGCTAGGTGCCAGCCATATGTAAAGTTACATGTTGCTCAAACCTGCCACATTTATACTTCTTCTGTACCTGTAGAAGTTTAATTCATTAAATAGGGCATTGAGTAGGTATTCTTTTAGATGCATGCTGTCTTACCTTGTATCTGCGCTGCTTCATAAGGGAAAGTCCTATGTAAAGTAAATTTTCTAGTTAAAAAAGAAAAAATGACTGAGGCTTTTCGATTTGTCAGATCTTAAGGCTAATGTTCTTTTAATAAAATGGGGCATTCCGAGAATCGAACTGGGGACCTCTCGCACCCGAAGCGAGAATCATACGACTAGACCAAATGCCCAGTTGTTGAAGAATGTCATTTTGATTCATCATCAATGTGTTGTTCCCTGTGTCAGCACTAACCTGATTATATATCATATCATTCCTTGCAAATATAAAATCCTTAGACTCCTCATTTCTGGCCTTGATCTGCATTTGCTTATTGGAAGATTTTTTGAGGAACTGTTTACTCTCATTAGGATATTATCATTTATCACTAGATAAACAGAGAAATACGAAACTCTTCTGCTTTTTGCAGCCTTTCCTCGATGTTCACTTTCTCTGATTCGTATAGAGCTATCAGCCTGGTGCATTTTATTAGATTATCATATCTTATCATAATGAGTCCTTCGGATATCTGAATTCCGACATGTCACAGAGGACTGTAATTGGTTGATGAAATAAGATTTCTGACATTAAATGGTTTAACGCGTCATATTGAGTTGAAGTCATTAAAGTGTTAAACACTAACTTTGGGAATGATTAAAAGGAAATCATTGGCTTTGCTTTTGGTTTTCTCTGATTCTAGATTATTTCAAATGCCTTCTTGATTAATCTAGTGCGTTCTTGTTTGTGTTTTATTCCGCAGCTCATTATAAGTAAGTTGGCTCAAAAAACAACATGAACCTTGTGATGTTCGTGCTTCATTGCTTAGGTAAAAATGAAAGGAATGATTCATCAAATGGGGTTATTAATCCGCGCAGGAAACTCAGTGAGCTCTTACGTCAAACAGTCAGCATACTAGAGCAATCCTTGAGTTTTGGTAACACTTTTCTGTCATTGATCAATAATTTCGGCTATCATTGTTGACCTCCATGTTCCTTAAAAATGAACCTTGTTTATGAGTCTTTGCTGAAGGACAGGTATATTTGCTGATTATCACTTACTCAATTTTGCCTACTTTCTCTATTTGGAAACAAAGGCAGAACTGGAATGACATACATTTGCTGTTTTATCACCTCTCTCTTTCTTTTATTTCTTTTTTCTTTCGCTCTCTTTCTTTAAAAGAAAAATGCAAAACTGTTTTCTCTCAAGGCTTTAACTTGTAATAATTGAGATGCATCTTGTGCTAATCAGTTCCTCCGTATCTTAGTGGTCACTTGAGAGTTCTATGTTGGAATTTGAACTTTCAAAAAAAAAAAAATGGCAGGTGAGCACAAATTAACTTTCTTGCCGGAATGATGTTTTGTTGTTAAGTTTTTTTATTCTTTTAGATTGTTGAGTTTATCTTTTGTTAAATTTTGTATCTTTTAGATCCAGGTGAATTTGCGTGGTGTTCTTTGAGATGAGGAAGAATCTCATCTTGCTTGTTGAGATATCATAAATGAAATTTGGCTGAAAGCCTTAGTTGAATTACAAAGAGTGCATTTTGAACAGGAAATTTTAAAAAGTTCTGAAAGTTGAGCATTGTATATATACAAAGAAGTGCTCTAGGTTGTATGTCTTGACAGTTTGAATCTATATCTATAATTGAGGGACTTACACCAGCTACGTGGCGCTCTCATTTAGCGGGAAATGAATTTTCTTGCCTTTAGGTTTTTTTATACTTTAAACCTTAAATTAACCATTGAACCGCTTCACAAACGAAACGGTTCCTTCCCGTAACCCTTCTTCTCTTTTAATAAAGCTTCTTTACTCTCTCTTTCGCATACCTATCTCTCTTCCAAAATTCTATCAATTACTTTGCAATTTTCATCTTCCTTTTTCCTACTGTATTTCTCTCATACCTTTAACTGTGTTAATTTCTATGAACTTAACTCTATCTACCTTCTTTAGGGGTTCTATTCCCCTAATCTAATTTTATAGGTGTGGACAATCAGGGATGCCAAAACGCAATCGAAAAATTGAGGTAACGTCCAAACCTTCTTCACTAAGTATTATGCTTTTTTCCACAATTCATATCTGGTGCTGTAAAAATTCTGGAAAACTATAATCTTTTCCCTTATTAATAACTAAGTATCTAAAGATTCTAAAACACTTGCAGAAATCCAAAAATTCTTCATTACTGCATTTTTTTTTTACAATTGATACTACTTGTGTCTCTAATGTTGAGTACAATCATATTGTATTACTGCTAAAAAAATACCCGAATAAAGTTCGACAACAATGTTTTTAAATGTGGATTATATATATAGATTCTTGCTACATTAGTATTGTTATATTTGTCATGCTCAACTTCTGTGTTCTGGTTGAAGAGTGACGTATGTATTTAATACTGCAATAAAAGCTTACTCTTCTTCTTTATCTTCCTACTAAACTCACGCCTTCGACAATAATATCTATAAATGTTTTGCCTTCCACGATTGCACTTGATAACAACTGAAAGAATTCTGTTATCTATAGACAAAATAAGGATAAAATAGACGTCAAGCCTTCAACAACAATATCTAAAGATGAGGTCACGCCTTAAACAACAATATCTATAAATATTGTTTACATATAGTTTAGTGTTATGGAGTTTAGACTATATTAGATTCTTATTATAACCTTGGATTTTGGTATTGCATAGAAGTTCAACTTCCTGGTACTTTTCTTCCTCTAAAACGAGTATTCGACAACAATATCTATAAAGGTTGTTTATATACAATTTAGTGATATGAAGTTTAAACTATATTAGATCTTCATTGTAGCCTCAGAAATTGATATTGGATATATAGTCGTTCAACTTCCTCCCCTGTTAGCATTTCTTTCTCTACACTTTGTTGTTCTGCTTGAAGCAGCATATGCATTAAATATAGCGGCTACATTGTAATGATCAGGAATATTTTTTCCTAGCAAAATTGTCATGCCTTATTATTTTTGTTTGATTAAATATAGATTGTTACTATATTAGCTTTGTTATATTTTTCCTGCTCTACTCTTTTCTGTTCTGCTTGAAAATGTTAACATACATAATGATCAGGAAAAAATACTTTCTTCCCAGCAATATTATAAAAATCATGAAATCTATTTTCCAACTTTCTCATATCTTGATTTTTTGCCGTATCTAAGTGCTTTTTCTCTTCTTTCAAAAGACACCCCTCTTTTTACTCTTTGAAAAGTCATGCCACTCTCTTCATCTTAATTGTAACCAATCGTTGTTTACTCTTCCTCATATTTTATCCTCGCTACAGCAAATCCCATCTTTCTTTCTCATTTTTTGTTTGCTGCATTATGATCTGTTTCTACCTCATATTTTTCTTATATTTAGCTCTTCTTCCTTCAAAAAGTACAGCTCTTTTTACTCATTCAAAAGTTATGCCTCTTACTCTTCTTCTTTCTCTTCCTACTAAACTCATGCCTTCGACAACAATATCTATAAATATTGTCTTCCCACGCTTGCAGTGGATAACAACTGCATGAATTCGGATATCTATAGACAAAATAAGGAAAAGACAGAGTGACGCCTTCAACAATAATATCTAAAAATAAAGTCACGCCTTAACCAACAATACCTATAAATGTTGTTTATATATAATTTAGTGTTATGGAGTTTAGACTATATTAGTTTCTTTTTTATAGCCTTAGATTTGGTATTGCATAATAATTCAACTTCCTGTTACTTCTCTTCCTCCAAAACTGACACATTCGACAATAATATCTATAAATGTTGTTTATATAAAATTTAGTATTATGAAGTTTAGAGTATATTAGATTTTCATCGTAAAAGCATCATAAAGGAAGAAGGTTTGGAATAGTGACGTGATGTCCTATTTTTCCTCCCACTCGCCAGACCTAAAAATTTTATTCTTTTTTCTTGGATGAGAAGAAGAACACGAAATTCATTAGCGGAGAAATCTGACTACGATTATCCAGAAAGGTCCTATTATCTCAGGGGTAATGCAATATAGATGGAAACATTGATCATACAAGCTCATCAAAGTGAGTTAGCAAAAAATTTACTCTTTTTTCCTTCTAATTACAACTTTTGTTAGTCAATGTGGAAGATTTTGTTTCCAATGTTAACGTGATGATTTAAATGTGGTTCTGTAATACAAGTAGAAAACGTGATGTGTTTAATGTAAATCGATTCGTTAGTTCTAGATTTCTCTACTAAAGGATGCAGATTATTCTGTGTGCATATTAGTAGACATTGATATTTTTTTTTATCAAACATCATGTCTTCATATACTAACGAGGGCCTGGATTAGTCATATGAAGGTTAGCTTGATGATTGTTCTAACGATTCTAGGATGCATTTGAGCCCTAAGGATGTGTACGTCTCTATTAGCTTTTTTCCCATTAGATTGTTCATCTTTTTTAGAAAGAATGTTTATCTTCTTTAGAATGAAGGATCATTCTAACCAACTATTTTGTCGAAAAACAGTAAATTGCCTGAGGCCTAACTAATATTTTGAGCTTCTTTATTACGCCAGGTAGCAAACATATATGCAGACTCCTCTGAAGATTGCCTACTTTGTTGTCTATCCATTTGCTTTTATTAAACCATGCAGTGCTCATCGAGTTATGACTCTGAAAGATGTTAAAAAACTGATATGCACCCCGCAATCAAAGTCAAGGCAAAATAGTAGATCATTAAAATTTGCACATCCAAATCAGCATTCTCGGGCAAGCTTGGCATTCGATCGGAAGACCAAAGTACAGACTGAAGGAGGAAAGCATTAATGTTATGAAGACCAAAGGTTAATTCGTTTATTGTTGCCTATTCATTTTTGGAGGCTATGCTGCTCCATTTCTTTTGTGTTTGCGACAGGTTACCAGAAGAGACGCAGACAGAGCATAACAGAGATAGAAATGAAGTCTACTCCATTTGAATAGAGAGCTGATTGTTCCATTTAGATTTGGGGATGTAAAGCGTTGTCCCACTTTTTACTCTAAATGATCGTTTACTTCTTCTTGGACTTGTGATGTTGTGGTGATGAATCTTGCTGATATAATATTCATATATTTTACTTTCATTTTCTTTTTTCCTTTTCCAACTTTTTGCAGGCCTCCAAGTATATATAAATTCATATAAGCTTGTGATATTAATTAGTAGGAAAGTGCAGAAAGATTCTTCTATGTTCATATTCTATTTTCTTTTCTCTTTTTTGAGACATGGAATATCTTTTTCTACATTGTATTGTCTTTATAAATGTTCATAGAAGTTTATTTCATTTATTGTTCGTAGAACATTTTACTATGTAGAGCAACAGTACCTTCTGTAGAGGATTTAACCAAATCTCACAACGGTTCTCTTCTCTTGTATCGATGGAATTATATGCTTTGAGCTCATCTAAAGGTTCGTCATATAATAAAGCCGACAATGAATTATAAGAGAGAGAGAAAGAGAAATTAATATTTTCTTGAAAAGTTCTAAGGGAAGAGGGCTATAGAATGTGAAAGCAACAATTTAGTTTTAGAAGGGATGTATTACTACTTTCATACCTTTATGAGCATAAAGCTCTCATGTTTAAGAAATTGACGTAATAATTTTTCTGCTTTAAGGATTTTTGGGAATTAGTTTTGCTTCTTTTTTTTTTTAAAAAGTTTATTTTGTTAAGCGTTTTTCAATTTTGAATGATCTATTTAGAGTTATGAGGTGCGTGAATAAACTTTGAACTGTGATATTGTGAGTTTTGAAGCTCGAAAAATTATTTATATTTGTATATAATGCATGAAAATTATATCTCTTCTATCTTTAACTTTATTTTTTTAAAAATCTCTTCTATCTCAATTAAGTTTATAACAACATTTTATGGTATATTTACTATCTTCTTTTATAACCAACTTAACTAGTTATAAATACTTGATGAGCTTACTGCAGTTTCCAGAACATGAATTTAAAGTTGATTGTCTAGCAAAAAATTTATAAAGGACCCTACCTTCTCCTTGGAATAACTACTGTCAGAATTTCAGGTATAAGGAGTTACAAAAATATTAGGGGGCATTCCGAGAATCGAACTCGGGACCTCTCGCACCCAAAGCGAGAATCATACCACTAGACCAAATGCCCAGCTGTTGATGGTACCACATTGACACTCTTAATGTTAGCTGGAAGTTCCACGTTTTTGTATCTTCTATTATTGAGAGCTGAGGATAGAAATTACAGTAGTTACGAAAGACAAATATAAATCTGAGCTACACACTGCTAAGTATAAATCTGCTACTTATTTGGTTGTCTATATACATGATCGAATGATTTTCATGCTTTTTTGTTTGGGTTTAACCGAATATAGGGTGACTCCTCAGCAACTGGAACCATTTTACTCCTGATTAGAGTGAAAAATTGGAGAGCTCTTGCCCCGAATACACAACCATGTCACCACATAAATGCTCCCTCTTTTGTTCTGGTGTGAACCTTTCTGCCACTAATAAATGATATATCAGTTATCATTGTCGACTTCCTTGACCCCTATATGAACCTTGTAAGAGAACAATGATTTATCTCATCGAATGAAAAACATTTTTACTACTTAATTAGTCAAAATAATGGAAGGCAATACTCCAGCAAGCCTATATTTCTGCTTATGATAGTGGGGATGCTTGCGTTAAATTTGGTTTACTTTCATATCTAGGTCCTCCTGAAACTTCTACATGAATAATCGGATAATCTGGTTAGTGGTAAATATGAGAGCTTGAGCAGAATTTGCAAATTATCTTTGGCACCTCCTTCCAGTTGTCTAAACCTTAGTTGAAAGCATTAGCCCACTATTCGTGCTAGTGGAGGAGATACCTGTTTCCGTTGAAATAGTCGAAATATGCTAAAACTGACTCGGATACCACTATTAATCTTTTAAAAAAAAAAAAAAAAGAAGAGGCCAAGGTCAGTTAACCAGCTTCATGGGATCCTGCCATTTGGTTTTCTTACTTTGAACAGGAAGAATCTTGGCCTGCAATATGTTGTAGTATTAATAAAGAAGGTATTTGACTGAGTGCTCATTTGATTAAAGATCAGAATGCCTAATTGCATGGGAATGCTAAAGAACTCTAAAAGTAAAGCATTAAGCAAAGGCGAAGCCACACTTAAGTTATTGACCACCCTTTGTCGGAAAATTACACTACGTATATAAGTAAAATATTCGGTTTTAGAGGTACGTAACACATATTGAACACCCTTTGTTGGAATTTTTTTTTTTATTTCAAGTTTGAACACCCTTCAGAAAATTCCTGGCTTCGCCACTGGCATTAAATATGGTATATTACAGTACTTGACAGAGCAAAGTTAAGTCTAAACTATGCTAGATGTTGTCTGCGTAAAATATTCAATGAAGGAAATAAATTAAATTGTCTGCACATGACTCTTTGAGCCCCCAAGATGTACTGTATTACTGTTTGAATGTCAATACCACAAATACAATACTGCAATTTTCAGAACATCAATCTCAGAATGGATTCTCTAGCAAAATAATAAACAAGAATCCTGGCAAAACAAATTATGTTCAGTTTATGTATTTTTTGACAACCTTTTATGCAAATATATTGAATTTCTAACCATATAATTTAAAGTACTTTTTATGTAGTATCTAAATACGTAAATTTTATTTTAAATTCTTTATTTTTATTTTTTTGATTTTAGCTCCAGATGAGTTTACCTAGTGTTCTTTGAGAGTTGGAGGAATCTCATCTTACATGGTAAGATATTAAAAATGACATTTGGCTGAAAAAGTTGGTTAACTTACAATGAGAACACATTCTCAACAGGAAATTACAAAAGCTCTGAAAGTTGAGCAATATGTATATTCAAAGAAGAATTAACTCTAGGTTGTCTGCGTTGATAGTTTGGATTAAAAATATATATTGCAGTTTGCATGTAAAAGTTGACTATTTTTTGGTTATTTCATGAGCCGAAGAAATTTTGTCTCAGTTTCACTGAGTTGTATATACATGACTTTAAGGTGTAATATCCTAATAGCATAAATGCCTGATGAGCTTTCTGCAGTTAACAAAAGATCAATCTCAAAATGGGGATAGCTTTTGATAACCTATTAAATAGAAATCCTACCTTATCCTTTGAATACTTACGCTGTCAGAATTTAAGGATAAGAAAGAGTTATTCAAAACAATAGGGGGCATTCCGAGAATCGAACTCGGCACCTCTCGCACCCAAAGCTAGAATCATACCACTAGACCAAATACCCAGCTTTTCATTGTACGTTATAGACAATTGTAATGTTTGTCGAAGTACGTGTTTTTGTATCTGGTAGAAACAACCATTTTCTTTTGAGGAATTATCACATGCTATTAGTGAGAGCTGAGGATAGAAATTACAGTAGTTACAAAGACATAAACATAAAAATCTGAGCTACACAATGCTAAAAAATTGAAAGAGAACCTATAAAAGTTAATTAAACTGCGCCAGTTCTAGTTGTTTAGATGTTGTGGTTCATCACCACTTCCTTTGACTTGGCAAAAGAGTGAATTGATAAGACTTTTTTCTTTCTAAATGAAGCTTGTATGATAATTCTAACAAGTGGTTTTTCCTTTTAAAATGACCTTCCTAGGATACCTCCTCTTTTATAAGGGCGAGTAGCAGGAAATAAATGTATTGTTAAATGTGTTTTCATTTTTAGTCAATATGGCACAAAATTAGTGGTACATTTCCCATCTTTTCTGAACTATTGTAAACCAGTCAGATATGAAGATGCACTTCAACAACAATAACAACATATCCAGTATTACCCTACACCATAGGGTTTGGAGAGGGTAGTGTGTATACAGACCTTACCCCTATCTTGTGAGGATAGAAAGACTGTTTCCAATAAACCATCGACTCAGAAAAGCATAAGCACCACATAATGAAAATATCGACAAGAAGGGATAATACCAAAAAACCATATAAAAGCAGAATAAAAACAACAAGATAGCAAGGATCTCTATGTTTTTTCTTATTTTTTTGATCTTTTTTTTTTGGACAGAGAACACGCTCTATTTCAGTTTAGAAACTCAGGATGATACTTGGTTTAAGTACCATACTTGGTATAAGAGGCAGATTTCTAACGCGTGAAATGCGCCACCCCCCCCCCCCCCCCCCCCCCCCAAGTGTACCCTGCCTTTGTTGTTGAACTAAAGCGTTGAGGTATCTTTGTCATGATCCAACTCCCGTCGGAGCCGCGACAGCGCCTAACACTACTTATTAGCCAACAGTCACATGAAAACAACAAATTTGGTAAAATAAGTTTTAATAACTCAACATCGAAAATGTGATGATTCGATATTGTGCTTTGAAGCCATAAATGACTTATCTTATCCCTCCTCGATTTGCATGCGTAGTCCGGGAGTTTTTTCGGAAAGCTTTTATGCTAAAAAACTGAGAAAATATGAAAATTTTGCCTTAAAATCCATTTGAGTTGAATTCGGTCAACATTTTGAGAAAACGGACCCGGATCCGTATTTTGACGGTCTTGGTGGGTCCGTATCGTGATTTAGAACTTGGGCATATGCCCGAAATCGAATTCAGAGGTCCCTAGCTCGAGTTATCGCATTTTGTTGAAATTTGAAAGTGTAAAAGCTTAATGACTTTGAAAGTTTGACCAATGTTTGACTTTATTGATATTTGGTTCGTATTTTTGTTCCGTAATTCGGTATAGGTCCACTACTATATTTATGACTTGTCTGTCAAATTTGATGAGAAACGAAGTTGGTTTGAAGCGATTCGGACGTCCGGCTGTCAAAATAGAAGTTCATGAGTTTTCTTGAAAATTCCATTTTATTTGGTGTTCAATTCGTAGTTCTAAGTATTATTTTGACGTCGATCGCGTGAGCAAGTTCGTATGATATTTTTTGACTTGTGTGCATATTTGGTTTGGATCCCCGAGGGCTCGGGTGAGCTTCGGATAGGCTATGGAGTTTGGACTTAGGAAAAATATTGGTTTGTTTCAGCTCTAGTGCATACCTTAGACCTCGCAATTGCAAGGTCAGGCTTCACATTTGCGACCTCTGTTAGGTTCACATTTGCGAGCAACTCCTCGCATTTGCG